TTTTTCACGGCCATGGTCAGCTAACAAGAACCACGGTCAACCCCACCTCATTGGTTGTTTTCATGAACACCACGGCCGTGGTTATACTTTTCACGGCCATGGTCAACTAAACAAGAACCACGTTCAACCTAGCGCATTGCTTGTCTTCATGAACACCACGACCGTGGTTATACTTTTCACGACCATGGTCAGCTAACAAGAACCATGGTCAACCTCAGCTCATTGGTTGTATTCATGAACACCATGGCCGTGGTTATACATTTCACGGCCATGGTGAGCTAAACAAGAACCATGGTCAACCTAGTTCATTGCTTGTCTTCATGAACACCACGACCGTGGTTATACTTTTCACGGCCATGGTCAACTAAACAAGAACCACAGTCAACCTAGCTAACAATCACGACCATGGTCAGGCTAAAAATCATCAAACCATGGTCGTGTTAATTCCATCACGAACGTTCAGATTGAGTCGTGGTACTATAATTTAAAAGGGGGAAGTGAATATACGATTCTTAGCCTCAACCTAGACTAATATACGAACGAAAATATTAAMAMAAAGGGGGGAAATTGCGACTTCTTATTTGCGTTCCAGATTGAGGCTAAAATAGTAATTTACCCCTTCAATATTATATTCCAGATAATAAATTGGGTCAATTGAGTCAATTTTTTTAATTGAGGTCATTTGAGCAAACTATAAACTTTTTCAGGTTATTTTCGCCAATTTCCCAAATGGATTTTCATTTTCTTAAATAACCTTCTCCATTTTATATCTAATTGTTCTATAAAATTAAAATAGTACACTAAATTTAAGAGTAAATTAAATTTGCCAAAGCGAGCCTACCTCAGTGGTAATTGACATATACCTCCAAAACAAGATAATTCTTATGTTTGGTCCCTAAAATTTAACAATATTTTTTTTTTAAATAGAAAACATGACAATTGTAGATAGACAAATTGTAAAATTCAACTAAAATATAGAGACTAAATTTAAAATTTTAAAATCATAAAAACTAAATTGAAACGAGTAAAATTATAGATATTAAATTTATCATTTGTTAGATTTCTTTTTGTTTTTTTTTTTTGTCTTTTTAGTACAATATGTAGGGACGAGGGATCAAACTTACAACGTTTTGATTGGAGATATATGTCAATTATCGTTTAGTTATGCTCGCTTTGACATTGCTTTTTGTTTTATTTAATTCAACAATTATGAGGTAAGAGGTTGAACTATAGATATTTTAGATAGTATTAAAGTATCTCATCCACCCTAGTGTGTATATATATATATATATACTTTTGTTAGTTTTTTTAATCATTTAATAGAAACTTGAAAAATACTATTTGAATCAAAATTTGATTTTTTTTAAACGTTGAGTGAAAAGTTAAGTATTAAAATATCAAAGGTATTACTTAATCATAAATAACAAATATTAATAAATTAGTATACATTTAACTAATTAATTGAAAGTCATCTACAAAACTGATTCTTGAAAATCAATGTCAGTAACTAATTATTGAACCGAACCGTACTAAACCGAACAGTTTGATTCGCTTCGATTACCTCCATGAAAAGCGAATCGAATGGTTTCGTTATCTTTGATGAAAAATCGAACCGACCTACTGGCTACTTCCACCCTACTAAGAAGTAAAGAACTAAGGTATGGCCGTAGGAAGAGACTCTTTATTTGGCGCCCTTTTTGCTCAGTCTTGAGATCAAGCTCTTGAAATTTGCCGGCTTGACTTGGTTTTCACTTGGATTATCTGCAACTTCCTCTCAATTTTATGGGGTCTCAATTTTCACTTGGTTTTCACGATGGTTTGCTTAATTTGCTCGTGCAGGCTATCTTTGTGAGTGCATCAACGACAAGTTTGACTTCTCTTCATTCTCATGGAGTTTGTAAGTCGCTCCTCAACAGCTGCTATATTAGTTCAATGCTTACATACATGTGAATTCGTGGAAAGTTAGTAAATTTCAACCTATTCATTCAGTTTCTCTTTTTTCGTTTTAGACAAGTTTAAGCAGAGGTGGATGTTACTATTTCCCACCATGCCATATGCTCAATGTTTGTGGGTTCCGAATCCAGTTTGATTGCCCTATGGACTTTTCAGCTCTCCCTATCTTCTCCCCTGTTCCTTCTGATTTTGATGCTGTTTCAGACGAAGAACTGTCAGGTCATCCCAGCCATAGTTCTTTAAATTCGGAAAACGTGTCTGAGAAAGAAATTGAAAAGCCACTTGATGCGAGTTCTTTGATAAAAGCGGAGCCTTGGTACAAAATCGTCAAGAACTTGCACATGTGGAACCCATCTTTCACTGATATCATTTTGATTTCAAGTCCAATGGGCATGTTAGGGCTACCCTTTTTGACCCGACAGAAGGGGTTCTCTGCAAAGGTAGATGATGCAGTGTTCTTTGTTTTTGATACCGCGTAAATAGGTTCTGATAAGTTTCACATTACTGAGAAAACTTGACTTCACATACTTTTCATTGGCTTGTCATAGATATATGTGACAGAAGCAACAGCAAGACTTGGAAAATTTATGATGGATGACCTTGTTGCAATGCATATGGAGTTCAAGCAGTTTTATGGATGTGAAGATGGTGCTTTCCCTCAGTGGATGAGGCAGGAAGAGCTAGAGCTGCTTCATTGTGCGCTAAGAGAAGCGGCTTTTGGGTCAGATGGAGCAGATCTTGGTGGTTGGATGCCCATGTACAGGTAAATTAATGATTTAGTATTTATTTGAATACTTCACATAGACCTTTTAAGAGCAAGGAATATGAAGTAATGATGTTGCATTTTTTTGGATAAGAAACTGGTTTTAATTAAGATAAATGAAAGTGAGGGTTATTAAAAGGAGAGCATAAACTGGAGAGACTAAAACAGAAACAAAAGTAATT